GTGATCAACTTCACCGCCGAAGTCTGCATCTACGTACCCTTGCACTTCCACCTCTCCCTTACCAAAGTGCAAACACTTCTGTGTGGTGCCTCGTAGATATCTCAGAATCCACTTGACCGCTTCCCAATGAGCTTTTCCTGGATTCGACATAAACCGGCTGACCACTCCCACTGCATGGCCAATGTCTGGTCTTGTACAGACCATTGCGTACATCAAACTTCCGATAGCTGAGGCGTAAGGAACCTGAGCCATACTCTCTTTCTCTTCTTCTGACTGAGGAGACTGATCCTTCGATAGACGAAAGTGGCTAGCCAAGGGTGTGCTCACAGGCTTGGCGTCGCCCATGTTGAATCTTTGCAAAACACGATTGATGTACTCCGTCTGAGACAATCGTAAGAACCCTTTCTTCTTGTCTCTCGTGATTTGCATTCCAAGGATCTTCTTCGCTGGACCCAAGTCCTTCATGTCAAACTCCTTTGACAGCTGCTGCTTCAAACTCTTGATATCCTCCATATCTGCTCCTGCAACCAACATATCATCAACATACAGCAGTAGGATGATATAGCTGGACTGATATCTTTTGAAGTAGCAACAGTGGTCGGCGTTGCACTTCTGGAAACCTTCCTTATGCATAAAGCCGTCACTCATCACTGTCCTGATAGTATTTAGCTTCACCACGGGAGCGAAAATATCGGTGTAGTCAATTCCTTCTTTCTGCTGGAAACCTTTGACAACTAGCCGGGCCTTATATCTTCTGGAACCATCTTGCTCCTCTTTCACCTGATACACCCATTTGTTGTGGAGTGCCTTCTTACCCGTGGGCAACTCAGCTAGTTCCCACGTCTGGTTTGATATGAGAGACTTCATCTCATCTTTCATTGCAAGCTCCCACTTGCTCGCATCTCCACACTGACAAGCTTCATCAAAGCTTTCAGGTTCCCCACCATCTGTCAACAACAGATAGTTCATGTATCTCCTGTTGGGTACAGGAGGTCGAGAAGATCTTCTTAATATCAGAGCTGGTGCGTCGGGCTCCTGCGCACCATCTTGTCCAACAGGCTCTTCTTGCTGAGGACCCTCTGCATTGGGTTCTTCCGAGAGGTTAGTCGAGACATCATCTGCATCTACAAATATTGACTCGCTCTCTGAGTCATCTGTCTTGTGCATGTCCTTGTACATCACCTTCTCGTTGAATATTACATCTCTGCTCCTGATCACCTTCTTGTTTTCGTTGTCCCAAATGCGGTAGCCGAACTCATCTTCACCATAGCCGATGAAAGTACATTTCTTTGACTTGGGATCAAGCTTATTCCTGCTTTGGTCACTAATATGCACGTAAGCTACACAACCGAAAACTTTGAGATGTGAGAGTTTTACCTCCTTTCCGCACCATACCTCCTCTGGTATTTTGTGGTCCAATGGAACCGATGGACCTCGGTTGATCAAGTAAGCTGCTGTGTTGACCGCTTCTGCCCAGAACTGCTTCGGTAGGCCTGACTGTACTCGAATGCTTCTGGCTCTCTCTGTCAACGTTCGGTTCATCCGGTCAGCTACACCATTTTGCTGAGGCGTGCCGGGCACGGTTCTCTCCATTCTGATCCCGTGCTCATAGCAGAACTTCTTGAATCCGGTGTCTTCATATTCACCGCCATTGTCGGTCCTGAGCTTCTTTATTCTCAGACCGGTCTCATTTTCGACCATAGCTTTCCATCTCCTGAAAGCCTCAAATACTTCTGACTTATGCTTCAGAAAGTAGACCCACACTTTTCGAGAGTGATCATCGATAAAAGTCACGAAGTAGTGTTTTCCACCAATGGACGCGGTGGTTGTTGGTCCCCACACATCTGAGTGAACGAGCTCTAGCTTCTGCTTCCTGGGGGTTCTACCACTTGTCTGAAAGCTGACTCTCTTCTGCTTTCCAAGTATACATTCTTCACACATATCCATCTCTACTGACTGTAGTCCTAGGAGTTTTCCCTTTGTGTGCATGATCTTCATCCCCTTTTCACTCATATGACCAAGTCTCTGGTGCCACAGCTTTGAAGTTTTATTTCCTGCTGCAACTGAGATCAAACAACGTGCACCTGCTGTCATATATAGGATATCAGTCTTTCTGCCTCGGGCAATTGTCATTGCGCCCTTTGAGATCTTCCAATCATCTCCATGGAAGGTCGTGGTGTATCCTTCGCCAGCCAACTGGCCTCTTTCTCAGGTCGGGAATATGCCTGACATCCTTCAGCTCCCATACTGACCCGTTCAACTTAATTTTCACTACGCCTTTGCCCACAATAGCACATGGTTGATCATCACCAAGATATACGTATCCAAGATTTTCGGGGGTATACTTCTCGAAGAATTCTTTCTGAGAGGTAGCATGGAACGACGCTCCTGAATCTAACACCCAAGATTCCTCCTTGCTCTCCAAAGAGCATATCAATGCGTCGTCTCCTCCTGAAGTGGAGGTGACATTCACCTCTGCCTTTGCCTCCTTCTCCTTCTGTGCACTCTTGCACTGATTCTTATAATGCCCGGTCTTTCCACAATTCCAACACTCGATAGCCTTCGAGCTGTTGCTTGGATTCCTTGACTTGGACCTCCTGTCCTTTGATCTACCTCTGAAGTTTGATTTTTCTCGTCCGTTTCCTCTGGTTGAATTTTTACCTCTTGACTCTGTATGCAATACTGAAGAGGTTGTAGTTTCACCCGTCTCTCTCCGTCGGATCTCCTCACTGAGAACCAAATCACGAACGTCGTCGAACTTTAACTTTTTCTTTCCCAACGAGCTACTCACTGCCGTGACTGTAGCATTCCAACTCTCTGGTAGGGAAGACAAAAGTATCAACGCCCGAACTTTCTCATCAAACTCAATCTCAACAGAACTCAATTGGGTTGTAACCGTATTAAGTTCATTGAGGTGTTGTGCTACTGACGCGCCTTCCGCCATTTTTAGATTGAATAACCGCCGCATCAAATGAACTTTGTTCGCGGCTGATGGCTTCTCATACATGTTTGAGAGTGCTGCCATAAGACCCGCCGTGGTCTTCTCCTTCGTTATGTTGAACGCAACATTGCGAGTCAGCGTCAATCTGATAACTCCGAGGGCTTGTCTATCTAGAAGGTTTCACTCATCCGCCTTCATAGAATCTGGCTTCTTCCCCGATAGTGGTTGATACAGATTTTTCTGATACAGATAATCCTCTATCTGCATTTTCCAGAATCCGAAATCTGTTCCATCAAATTTCTCAAGTCTCATTTTTGCCTCATCTGCGGCCATGGCTCCCACTTGAATCTGACTTTCTCTAGATCGTTTCACGCTCTGATACCAGTTGTTGGGAATTAAACGCCTAAACCCCTAATGTAACAGAAATATAGAATAGAAAAAGTACACCAAGATTTACGAGGTTCGGCAACGGCCTACGTCCTCGGGAACCACACAGTTAATTTTTTATTCATCAAACAAGAAATTACAATTAAAGAGCAAATCCCAAACTAAGATTTCTCAAATGAACACTGTAGCTACAGTGTTAACACCCACAATAAATACCCTCTTCTGGTTTCTCTCTCTTCTTAAATATCCCCCTTCAAACACTGTTGAATGAAAGCTGGGGATTGAAAATCGCTGCTGCGATTTTGGGGATGAACGCTGCTGCGTTAAGAGGATTCGCCGCCAGAAGAAAACGAAGGAGAAAAAAAAAGCATTGAAACCCTAGGGATTGGGGTTTGCTTTTATAGGCGAATCGTTGACAGGCTGGCGACCTGTCGCCAGCGGTTGCTCGGACACGAGTGTGGGAGCGCCAAACGCTGAGGTCGGTTGCCCGAAGAACGCGATGGTCGGCATCGTCTGGACGCGAGGGTCGAAGGCCAAACGCGGGGTTCGATGCCAAACGCGGGTCGTCGAGCTGTTGAACGCGAGGGTCAGGTGCGCGTTCGAGGGTCGCGTCTCGCTCGAGGGTCGCGTCTTCGACTGCGGGGCTCGAGCTCGCCTGGGGGGTTCGCCGTCGACTTCGCCAGCGTCATCTCCGAGCTCGTCGGAGCTCCTCGTCGCCGGCGGAGGTTGGTTTCCACCCCCAATTCTAACACCAGCTGCCTAGTCCCGCCAAATTTTCTCTCTACTTCTTTTCCTCCAAATTCCACTGCCGAACTCCGGCCTACGCACACAAGATCCAGATGAGATTTTTTTTCCTAAATTCCACTGCCTACCCTCGCGTGAGAAGGCAGAACAAGCGTTGTTCCGCCTTCTTATGAGGAATACTTAACCCGTGGTTTGACGGGATAAATGGGATTTTGGGATCACGTGAGGGTTTGTTAAGCCTTTGTCATTTTTTCCTGTTTGGCAGGCTAATGGAGGATTAAACCCCCTTAATCCTTCATTTATCTCCTTACCAAACGCAGCCTAATTGATTACTAATTACTATCAAATGAATGCGGCTGGGGATAACCACTATTCATACTTCTTATCCCTCAAAGAATCCCATCTGCAAAAATATCTGTGTGTATAAATGACGTTGATCAGCTATATTTGATATTCTTAGTCCGAGATTACTTTGACAAGTTGAAAGTTTTTCTGACCATCCATTCTTTGTCTCCTATCGTTTCTAAAGCTTCTCTAATGAGAGGACCGAGTTCCTCTGTTGAACCTGGTATTACTGTTTCTGGCCATGGCTAGCTCAGAACAGTTCTAATGGAGAAGAATGAATGAGAGAGACAGAAGAATTGGAACAAAAGAACAAAATAAAATTGAGAGAGAGAACAGAATTCACTTCATTTCATTTCATAATCTCTTTGTTATTACATCCTCTCCCTTTTATACTAATCGGATCCCTCAACTGTTAGTTTTGTGCCGTGCACGTGCACAAACAGAAATAACAGAGAAAGAACAGAAATAACTGTCTAACTGAACTACCACATTTATTACAAGATGCCACAATAAAGTCTTTGCAAATTAGTCCTTCTCTCTGGCATTTCTTTTGTGTATCAGTCCCTCCTTTACGTATCAGTCCTTACTCCCCTTCCAGTTCCCTTCCAGTTTCAGCAGCTTCAACCACTCTAGTCTTCACCTCAATCTCCAGCTCATGATCTTCAGTTCCAGTAATTCCAGTCCCTGACAAATCCCCACCCCTTAAATTTGACCTTGCCTCAAGGTCAAAGGTAGGGAAACGTTTAACGAGATCCCAATAGGACTCCCAAGTAGAGTCTAAGGAACTGCGCTGCTTCCACTTAATCAGAACTTGAGAAATTAAATGATTCCCCTTCACAATAGTTCTCCTGTCTAGAATTTGCTCAGGCTCATCAATAATTTCTGTAACATAAGTGGGAAAGTCATTCTGAAGTGCTATCTCAGTTCCCAACTTTTTCTTCAATTGTGAAACATGAAAAACAGGATGAATCTGAGCCTGTGCAGGTAAAGCAAGCTTGTAGGCAACCTCTCCAATCTTTTCCAGTATTTGGTATGGACCATAGTACTTGGGAGACAGTTTATGAGGCTTACAAGAGGAAACACTGATTTGTCTATACGGTTGAAGTTTGAGAAAAACCCAATCCCCTACAGCAAAGCTTCTGAAACTCCTGTGTACATCAGCAAATCTTTTCATTTGCTCCGCAGCATTCTTTAAACTGTCTCTCAAAAATTTTAGAGCTATGTCCCTAGAGAATAGAACCTCATCTACTGCTTCAACTTTACAGCTCTTAGGTACATAGGAGAGTAAGGATGGAGGTTTTCTACCATAGACAACTTCAAAAGGAGTGGTTTGTGTTGAACTTTTCCAAGTTGTATTGTACCAAAATTCAGCCAGGGCTAGCCATTTACTCCATTCACTAGGTTTGTGGCAGCAAAAACACCTTAAATAACTTTCCAAATTCTTATTAGTGATCTCAGTTTGCCCATCCGTCTGAGGATGATAGGCTGAACTGAATTTCAATTGGCTCCCTTGTAATTTGAACAACTCCTTCCAAAACAAGCTAGTAAATAGTGGATCTCTATCACTTACAATTGATTTAGGCATGCCATGTAGTTTGAAAATCCCTTCAAAAAACACATGTGCCACTGTTTGAGCTGTATATGGATAAGAGAGACCAAAAAAATGAGCATACTTGGATAATCTGTCCACCACAACAAAAATGGCAGACTTGTTCCCACTTTTAGGCAAGTGTGTGATGAAATCCATTGAGATATCCTCCCAAATAGAATCTGGTATAGGTAAGGGTTGAAGAAGGCCTGGAGATGCTATATTCTCCCCTTTAGATCTTTGACAAATATCACAACCCTGTACATAAGTCTGGACATCTCTTTTCATTCCTTTCCAATAGAAAACCCTCCTCAGCCTGTGCAAGGTTCTAATGATGCCAGAATGCCCTGCTGAAGGACTATCATGATATTCTTTAAGTAGAGAAGTTCTAATGTGTTGAGCATTAGGACTAATCAAAAGCTTACCCTTATAATAATATAGTCCTTCTTTCTTACAGTATTTATTAGGTTCCAGCTGTCCTTGCAACAACTTAGCATCCAGGTCTGTAAAGTAGGAGTCTGTTGAATACATGTTCCTGATTTCCTCCAACCAGTCACTTTTAAGAGTAGAGATAGCTGATGTTTCAATGAACTGCTCTTGTAGCTCTCTCACTTCTTCATGGATTCTAGATAGCCCATCTGCCGCTCTATTTAATCTCCCAGGTTTATACTCCACCCTGTAATCATAATCATGTAGTTTGGCAAGCCACTTATTTTGTATACCAGTATGGATTCTTTGTTCAAGCAAATACTTAAGACTTTGATGGTCAGTCCTGATCACAAATTTCCTCCCTAATAGATATTGCTGCCATTTTTTTGTAGACATGATGATTGCCAATAATTCTTTTTCATAAGTAGAAAGAGTAGCATTCCTCCCTTTAAGAGCAGAGCTGAAATAGGCTATAGGTCTCTCATGTTGCATCAACACAGCCCCAACCCCTGAACCAGAAGCATCACATTCAATCACAAAAGTAAGATTAAAATCTGGCATAGCTAGGACTGGTGGGTTGGTAAGTGCAATCTTCAATGCTCTGAATGCTTTTTCAGCTCCATCATTCCAAGTAAAAGCTCCTTTTTTCAACAATTGAGTTAATGGTTGAGCTATCACTCCAAAGCCTTTAATAAACTTCCTGTAGTATCCTGCCAGTCCCAGGAAACCCCTCAATCCCTTTAGAGTTTTAGGTAAGGGCCATTCAACAATAGCAACAACTTTACTAGGATCCACTCCCACTCCTTCATGTGATACAATGTGACCCAAGTATTCCACTTGTCTCTGACCAAAACTGCACTTAGACATCTTAGCAACCAACTGATTGTCTTTCATAATCTGAAACACTTGTTTCAGATGCAACAGATGATCTTGCCACTTCCTGCTATATACTAATATGTCATCAAAGAAGACTAGTACAGATTTCCTCAAGAATTCCTTGAAAATGGTGTTCATGAGAGCTTGAAAAGTTGAGGGAGCATTTGTAAGTCCAAATGGCATAACCATGAACTCAAAATGTCCACTGTGTGTCCTGAATGCAGTTTTGGGTATATCAGCCTCATGCATCCTGATTTGATGGTAGCCTGATTTCAAATCCAACTTGGTAAAAAACTGAGTGCCATTCAATTCATCTAACAATTCATCAATAATAGGGATAGGAAATTTATCTTTGATGGTTGATTTGTTGAGAGACCTGTAGTCTATACACATCCTCCAACTCCCATCATGTTTTTTAACCATTACTACTGGAGATGAGAAGGGACTGTTACTGGGCCTAATGGTTCCCTTTTGGAGCATTTCTTCTACCTGTTTTTCAATTTCATCCTTTAGAAAATGTGCATGTCTATAAGGCCTAATACAAACTGGCCTTGTTCCTTCTTCTAGTGGAATCTTGTGGTCTATACTTCTGTGGGGAGGAAGCTGATGCAATTCCTGAAAAACCACCTGGAATTCTTGTATCA